ATTGTATTCTAACAAAAGAGTGCGAGCACATTCGATTAGAATTCTATTTTTTCGCTCTACAACCCCATTTTGTTGAGGGGGTGCGAGGAGCAGAAAAAATATGAGCAATCCCAGTGTTATTGCAGAAAATCTCAAATTCTTCTACAATAAACTCACCCCCGTTGTCACTCTTAACCGTTTTAATCTGATCAGCATAGAGTAAAGCAAAAGTTTTAAATTTAGCTAAAGTTTCAGATTTTTGAGCAAGAAAGAAGACACAGGTAAATCTAGAAAAATCATCAACTATAACAAACACGTAATTCTTGCCACCCAGATTCGTAACATTACAAGGACCAAAAAGATCCAAGTGCAGCAACTCAAAGACAGTTGTAGTAGTAATGTCTGGTTTTGACTTGAATGATCTTCGTGTTTGTTTACCAGAAATACAAGTATCACAGAAGAAGTTTGACTTTTCCTTAAGAGTAGGAAGACCTCTAACCAGGTTTAATTAGGACAACAGAGCAAGTTTTTGCATACTAATGTGTCCAAGCTTCCTATGCCAGAGTAGCTCTTGATGGAAAGAAGCAACAAAATAGAATTCATTGAAGGCATCAAGATTTCGAAGATCAATAACATACATGTTATTTTGTCTTGACCCAACAAAAATGATAGTTTCATCACTTGACCGTTTCACAAGACAACGAGAAGTTTCAAAGATGACCTTATGACCACTGCTACACAACTGACTTATAGAAAGCAAATTGTTCTTAAGACCATCAACAAGTAGGACATCGTGAATCATAGGTGAGGGTAGTTGACCAATGGTTCCTATTCCAACGATTGTGCCAGAACTATCATCACCAAAAGTAACTTTACCACCACGTTTGAATTTAAGAGTTGAGAAAATGTCTTGCTTACCGGACATGTGATGCGAACAGCCACTGTCGAGATACCAGAGATCATCATTTTGAATCAACTTACCAGAGTCATCAGGGGAGGGGGAAGAACCAAACTGTGCAGACTTTGAGCAATCACCAGAAGAGGATGAGAAGGCCATGAGAGCTTCTTCATCGATCTGTTCTGGTTCCTCATCAGTTTCATAGTCGCTCCAGGATTCCTTCATGGCACGCTCCTTTGCTTTAAGAGTTAGAGGACAGTTTGCCCTGATATGCCCCTGTTTTCCACACTTGTAACAAGCCTGGGGCTCACGATCACTTGTACCTGTATCTATCATTCTGGTCTGCTGATTAGGCAGCCTGTCATGTGATACACTTCTAAAACGATCATTAGACATAAATCTAGAATCATCAAATCGCCGTTTCTGATCATTTTTATATTTAAGCATACGATGAAAACGCTTGCTAACCAAGGCAAATTCTTTCTCAAAGTCCCTTCCTAAATCATTATCAGAATCATAATCGACAGTCTTAGATTGAAAAGCCAGAGGTTCTTTCTCTTATCATCATCCTGATGAACTTGTTTAATAACATTTTCATGGCTTAACAGAGACCCTATCAACTCATTTATAGGAAGAGTGGCTAGATTACGCGCTTCCTCAATAGCAGTGCGCTTAGGTAACCACTCCTTAGGTAAAGAACGAAGGACTTTGCGATTGAGATCTTTAACGAGGAAGGTACGACCTAACCCTTTCAGCTTATTTATAAGAATAGTGAATCGAGTATACATCTCATGAATTGATTCATTGTTTAGAATAGAGAATGAATCATACTCATGCACCAAAAGATCGATGCGAGATTCACGAATATTAGAGGTACCTTCGTATGTGCTCTGAAGAGCAATCCAGATTTCCTGTGCCGATTCGCAGTTCTCAACTTGATCTGGCTCTTCAGGAGTCATTGCTGATTGAAGGACATGCATAGCACGCTAATTCAACTGAGCACTTTTCTTCTGTGCAGTAGCCCATTGGTGTTGCTCTGCTAGATCCATGTCGATCGGGCCGTTCTGCACAATGAGCCAGAGCTCCTCATCGATGCCCCACATAAATTGTTTGATCCTCTTCTTCCATGACGTGTAGTTTGCTCTAGAGAAGATTGTGGATGATTTAGAGTCGCCTACACGAAGGAATTTGAGGCCATCGGATCTTTGACCTTGGCAGGAGTGAACTTCTTCAAGGGAAGGCTCTGATACCACTTATTGATCAGAGGGAAATGTCAGAAAAATTAGGGTTCTTAGAGAATTTGGGAAAATGAATAAGAAGGAGAGAGGCAACTCAGATAATGGAACGAAAATATCGTTCCTTGCCTCGTGCTCTTTCTGTCTCAAGGATTGGGCCCAAATAGAGAGGCCCACGTGTGTTTTGCTTGCAGATAGAGACGAGATCGTCTTCTTCCTTTGCAAGTGAGCACTATCTACTGAAAGGCATAACAGAGAACAGAGAAACAGAGCAACACTGCAAGGAAGACAAAGAAGAATAAAGGCAAGGCGATTTTTAACGAGGTTCCCCAAACTACTGGGCCAGTCCTCGTCCTAGACTCAGTACTGCACTGAGTTCTAGGAGACTCTTGTTTTTATTGAATTTTCCCTATCAAGCAAAGCGAAATCGAAAACAAAGACTCAACGACAATGAAAAGAAATTCTGAAGGAAAAGCCCCGGATCCCAGCCCAGACCCGTTACACCGCTAACCAAACAGATCCTATTCCTCTGTTCTGATTAACCCACTAAGTAGACAGCCTTGTACCGCTCTAAAAAGTAATCCTTCTTGATCTCTCAGAAGAAGATTATATAGCTAGCTTGGAGAAGACCGTTGCCTTTGAATTTGTCAGAAAAGGGTAAGCTTCCGCCAGTGCCCCCTTGATTTGCTTGATTGTCGTCAGTATCTTTGATTTGCTTGATTTCCAACTTTCCATCTTTCAACATGTTGATGCAAGCACAAAAATGAGCCAAGCTTGTTTCCTTTGATGCTTAAAGGAGAGTTCAAAACATGGAAGAAAGGAAGGCTGAAATTGGCTAAGTTTGGAGATGGTTCCGAGGTACCATCTTGAGAGGCTTATTCGTGGAGGTGATTGAGGAAGCAAATTGGCCCAGCAGGAAGATTTATCGATGGTTGAGCAGGCTCCTGTCCATCAAGCAATTTCCCCTTCCGGTTTCCATCCCATGGAAAATAAAGGAAAAGCAAGGAAAATCAAGTATAGATCTTATCCGTCTCTCCATGGCGGCTTCAATTTAGCGCGCAGTGTTAAGGAAGCAAACATGTCCGACACTCCCATGACGGCTTCAATTTTGATGAGTCCCATTTTGAAGAGAGCAAAAGCAAGGAAAATCAACTAATCAAGTGTAAATCTGATCTATCTCTCCCATTGCGGCTTCAAGCTTGCTTAGTCGAGGAAGCAAACTGGCCCTGCTCTCCCATGATTGCTTCAATTTCGTGGAGTTGGGGGAGCAAACTGGTCCCGAAAGAGATATCGACCGTAGACCATGCTCCTCTCCAGCCGTTCCTCCTTACATATCAATCTTAAGAAAAGAAAAAAAAACAATAGAAGAAAAAAAAGAGTTCAATAGGAGAGAGGAGAGAGGTGACAGGGCGATTTGAGTTGACGGGAAAGAATTGAGAGAAGAGGCACATGAATTTATGGGATACACGCATAGGCATTCAACGGCTGAGATTAGGTTGATCAATGGTTATGCTTAATGTACCTAAAGGGTTAGTCTTGGGTTTACCGTGTAATCGTTCACATATGATTCTGAAATTTTATGAACAGTAACTCCAGATTTTTTCTTGGTAAACAGTGCCCAAAATTTTTCCTAACTTGTTTCTTAATAATTCTAATATGATAACCAATACCAATGTTCATTGTTTAGACCACACTATCTTCTTCCCATAAACCCTAGTAAGTAGTAACTAATTAATAAATGCTTATTGCCTACACCTACAATGCATGTCAATATGGTTAGGAGAGACACGTTTACCACCAGGAAAGCAAGCATTATCGACAGAGCCCTGTTGACGCAAGCACAAAAATGAGCCAAACTTGTTTCGTTTGATGCTTAGAGGAGAGTTCTAAACATGGAAGAAAGGAAGACTGAAATTGGCTGCCTGGGGACGATTTCGAGGTACCATCTTGAGAGGCTTATTCGATTCGTCTGAGGGACATCGAGGCCAGCTATGAGTTGAAAATAGAAGTGCAAGACTTCCTAAAGAACATAAAGGAATTGGTTGAGCTCGACTGAGCTTGGAGGCCTTCGAACGAAGAGCTTGAAGTTGGTGTGGAGGGCAGTTTTGTTACTTGTGCATGAAGCTAGCTACTTAGGCAACATACAATCAAGTTGGAAGCCGAGTTTGGGAAGGATGCTCTAGATGTTTCGTGTTTGTTTTTCCTTGTAGTCGTTTTTACTTCAAAGACGATTTGGAGACACGAGCTCCCTCTGAAAAATATGTGAAGTTGTTTGGCTAGCTTTTTATTGGAGAATACTAAGTCAATGCAAGTATGTAGGCGGAGGGTTGGCTTAGCTATGTCATTACAAAATGTACAATTTACAAGCATCGCCAACAATATTAAAATCTGCCTCCTATAGTCTCCATCTTGTCCCTCGAAATGATTTTGTGCCAGCATTATACACGCTATATGTTGGTTCATATGGAAAGAAAGGAATAGTCTAATATTTGACCGGAAACACTTATAAGTAAAGTTGTAAGTTGTAAAATTTTAAGTACCTTAGTTCACTAGTTAGAGGAAATGACAAAGATTGACATAATCCAAACGAATGGTTGGTTAACGAGTCTCTCAAGAAGTATCCTGTCAAGCTAGGACTCTTCTCTTGTCTCTATACTCGTAATCTTTCTATCTTTCTTCTTTGGGGTTCTCGTTTCCCTTGATGTATGAATTTGTTTGACAGTTCAAGGGTCCTTGCTCTAATACACGATGAAACTTAATTAGGCCAACCCTTGCTTGCTTTACACTTGTTTTTGGATTGTTCTTTAATTATCTAATAGTGTTACGCCATTATAAAAAAAAAAATAGATGATAGAAGAAAAATGTATAACTAATTAGCAAAAGGAAAAATAGGGTGCATTTTTTCATTATACATATCATAAAAGAACAAAAGCTAATATTATTACACCATCTTCGAGCCAAATTAAAGCATACCAACTTATTCATTGGGAAGGAAGATATAGACTTCAATGTCGTCTTATCTCATTCTGCCATGAAAAACACTTGTCATATAAATAAGTCCGATTATTATACTTACACACCCCATAGTTTTTGACAACGAATTTACAATGTTTGCAATGATCAAGCCAATCATTATAGATATCATACCAATGTTTTCTGCCACTATTTGGCCATTCAAAAGAACAGTAAAATAAGGTTCTAAAAAATATGTCTGTCCTAAACTTAAAATGAAAGCTCTCGTCATATCTTAAATACCTAATCCCAAGGTCGTCATTCTTTGACCTACAGTGTACCCTCAATAGTGCCTTGCTCGGAAGCCTATTGGTAATTGTCACTGTTTTCTTCACAGGCCAGAGGCCATCTGTACGGGCTGCATCTGCAACATGATTCACAACCGGGAAGACCACTAGAGATATAATTAAAACTAATGCCCTCCTCATACTAGTGCTCAATGTAACCCAATTTATATTATATATGTGTATGTATTTGTGGGTGGCGATGATCCCTATATATATATATATATATATATATAATCCAAGCAGTGTGCATTACTTCTAGCATTTCCAGTTTAGTTGTTTTTTTCTTCTATTTTCGGCTTTGATGTTGTTTTGTTTTCCTTATGTTTAGCTATTAGGAGACATTGAATAATTCATCGTTTGCTATAAAGTGATAATTGCAGTTTTAATACCACAAACTCGGATAGTCTGGAAAATTAAACTATATATGAATTATGTTATTTGAAGAATTCTGTTTATTAATTTAATCCCGCTAGTTTGTGGTAACTTCCTCGCGCGCGTTCAAGCATATGCAGCTTGGGTCAATTCCAAACTCTCCTCACTAGAAGAATTCATCGTAAACAAATTGAGGACTCTTTCAAAATGCAGGAACGACAGTTTCATGTTTCCACTAAATTCGGTGGCTGATTAAAACGATACTACATAAATGAACAATCATAATCGTATTCAGAAGAAAGAAAACTTCAGAATCCATGATTATTAAGAACTGCCATGGAAACCCATCGACATAAGGACTCTAATAAATAAATTAATAAGATGCGGAAACTAATAAATCAAATCATGATCAACTAAGCTACGTGCAGAAAATCACTTTGAACTCTATGATGGTTCGATTCCATCCCATTACAAACAATTGGGAAACCGTGATGAACTTAAGATCGGACTTGCCAGCCTCCAAACAGCTACCCTCCAAACCATATCTCACGTCTTCAGTTCACTGTATTGTTGGGACTTTTAGGGGCGAGGGTACACGTACGATAACCCGAGTCCAGGTGACCAGGATTATGATAAAGTCGTGAACTACGTTCACTTTCCCTAAAGAATATTTTCACCCTCAACAAGTTTAGGATTACAAGAAATTTCTTCATAGGATAAAACTATCACCACTTTAAGTTCCAGGCTTAAGTACCTAAAGCATACTTAGAAGTTCGAAGTTCAGAAGGAAGAAAAATCGATTTTGGTGTATTTCCTATCATTGTCTAGTACCTCTTATTTATAGAGAAGGAATCGCTGCATTGAAAGATTGTCACCTTTCATTTTGTTGTCGGTTGGGATGGGAACTGCCAAATTTTTGTTTGGCCCAAGCAACACACCATTTCATTTCATTGTAAATGAAACGTTGCTTTATTTTGATTTGAATTTAAATAAGACTGTTTCATACAAAACCGTCCATGCAAATCAAATACAAAGGGACGTATCCCTTGTATGAGAAACCTATAGCATCATTTAAATTCAAACCTAACGGTCGCTATTAGTGGGAAATCTCATGTTCCACGAAATAATTAAAGGAACGTGTCCCTTAATTGCATGAACAACATTTATACTTTTCCACCAAAAAACTCAGCAACGTTCAGAATTGACAATTTGGTTTGCAGTCTAATCTCAAGCCGGCTGGTCGGTCCAACCCAAATTCGGTTTGACTTGGTTCAACCAAATTTCCAACACTCCTCCCTAATTTTAGTGTATTCAAAGAAGTCGCTAAAATCACAACATTTTTCTAACAAAATTTAAGCATAAATGAAAATGTCATGACGATTGAATTTTCACCTTAGTATATAACACTTGAAAAATATTCGAATACAAAGGGTGTCGGTAACGATTGAACCCATTGACTCATATGAATATTCGAAGATAATATACACTTAAGTTTTCAAAACTTCTAAGTGCCTTGGTGCTATTACCCGCCATGTGTCCAATCCTTCTCACAAGCGCACACGAAACCAAAATCCGGGTTACTTGAAGCGGCTCCACTTCATGCTTACATAGGTTGAATCTCTTATTCGTGTACCCGCATAATACACTTTTTCAAAGATTCAATTAAGAAGTTTTGAACTTCATCCTCTTCTCTCATGTAGGATAACAAGCACATACCTCGGGATGACAAGTTATGTGCTTCAATTTCTGATAATAAGCTTTCCACATTGAATTCAGTCTCTAACGTTGTATTATAGGGGAATTGGGTGTCCCATTACCAGAAATTATATGGACTTTAACCCATCCCTTTCACAGACTTGATCACCAAGTCACTAGTTAACCACTTCGTCAAATGATCAACCAAATTATTTCAAGTCTGGTCATACTGTCTAGACACAACACTATGAATGATCAGTTCACAGCTTTTACCGTGCCTTACTCCCACATGACCATACTTGTCATTTTCACTTGACTATATGCCTTAGCCAAATTAGCATTACTATCACAAAAGATAGTAATAGGTGAGATTGGTTTTGCCATAAATTAATGTCATAAACCAAACCTCTCAACAATTATGTCTCTTCTCTAAGAGAAACCAAGACAACGCAAACTTTGATTCTATAGTGAAAATTAGTAACGCAAGTTTGCATTTTAGAGGCCCAAAATATGGCACCTCTCCCAAGAAAGAGGACTCATCTCAATGTTGAAGTATCACCTTTAACATGAGAAATCCCACTAATATCAACAAATCCTTCCAAAATTGATGGAAAGCCACTATAAGTCAATACAGTGTGCCTTTGACATATCCTAGTACACGCCTCATTTCATTTTCAAATGATGAGAACTAGGATTCATCACGTGCCAACTTAATTGTTCTATCGCATATGTGATATCTAGCATCATGTAAGTCATGCATACATCGAGCCCCCAATTTGACATGGAATACTCCAGTGGTAAAACTGATTTTCAGTATTAACCATAAATTCCATACTTGGATCCATTGGGGTCTTTAACTCACCAGAATTCCTACTATGGAATCTATGCAAGTACCTTCTCATGTAGAAAAATTGAGAGAAGGACTCTTTCTTGTCGCTCCGCTTGATTCAATACACAGAATCACATTTGCCTCCCCCATGTCCTACATGGAGAATTGAAATAACAACTTTTTATCAAATTTCACTTATCTTTTATTGGTTCCAAAGATAAACATGTCTTATACATACAAATGTACGATGACTTCATTACCAGAATCATCATAAATTGTGTACACATTTTGTCTCCTTGGTTTAAAATAACATAAACTACTACACAAAATCACTTATCTTTGATTGGTCCCAAAGATAAATATGTCATCTACATACAAACACAACGACTCTATTGCTAGAATCATCAAACACTGTATATACAATTTTGTCTCCTTGGTTTAACATAAACCACTTAGACAAAACCACACCATCAAACCACTAGACAAATCCATATTTGTCTAGCACTTCGTAAACTTCGCATAGAGAACTAGACAAATTTACCATCGAGTATGTGACCTACCCAAAGGCAATTTTCATTTTTCTATTTCTCCATTTTAGAATCATTCTCCCTCTTCCTCATCTTTTAATCGTCCATCTTTCAAGTTACCTTCCGGATATGGAATACACCATGAGACTAGTACGAAGAACACCCATCTTCTACTACCATTGATGAAATAACCATCATAAAAAATTATCATAATTCCATACACCGGAACTGGTTTCTTGTAAAGAGCGGTTCGAGCCATCGTACCGGAAATTATTCTTTACGATTGTTGGGAATTTTAGGGGCGAGGTTACACGTGCGATAGCCCGAGACTGGGTGACCAGGATTATGATAGAGTCGTGAACTACGTTCACTTTCCGTAAAGAATATTTCCACCCTCAACAAACCTAGGATTATAGGAAATTTCTTCGTAGGATAAAACTATCACCACTTTAGGTTCCATCCTTAAGTACCTAAAGAAAACTTAGAAGTTCAATAGGAAGACGAATCAATTTTGATGTATTTCCTATCATTGCCGAGTCCTTATTTATAGAGAAGGAAGCGCTGCATTGAAAAATTGTCACCTTTCATTTTGTTGTCGGTTGGGATGGGAACTGCCAAATTTTTGTTTGGCGCAAGCAACACACCATTTCATTTCATTGTAAATGAAACGTTGCTCTATTTTGATTTGAATTTAAATAAGACTGTTTCATACAAAACCGTCCATGCAAATCAAATACAAAGGATGCATCCCTTGTATGAGAAACCTATAGCATCATTTAAATTCAAACCTAACGTCACTATTAGTGGGAAATCTCATGTTTCATGAAATAATTAAAAGAACGTGTCCCTTAATTGCATGGACAACATTTATACTTTTCCACCAATAAACTCAGCAACGTCCAGAATGGACAATTTGGTTTGCTCAGTCTAATCTCATGCCGGCTGGTCGGTCCAACCCAAATCCGATTTCACTTGGTTCAACCAAATTTCCAACATGTATAGTATCAACATAAGAACCCTTGATCCCTAAATGACACCACATTACCCGACCAAACTCTCCAAAATCCTTAATCCCACTCCCTAGGATTACAAGAAGAACCTACTTTGAATATTGTCACGTACGGATAGCTTCACTACATTTGACAAGATTATAAAAGAGTATGAGAAGTATGTATATTACTTCTTTGGTAATTTAATCCTAATCCAATCTGGTAAATAATAAGGAGGTAACAAATCGACCAGGTCCAACAGAAAAACTCAAACGTATACATGCTCATACTTATCGTGGATTGGGAGCGTTAAACCTTGTTCCCCCGAATCCCAATAACTAGAGACTTTGCCTCTGGACCCCAACTCGCTAACCAGACAACGAGATTCCATGACTTCTAATCGACAACAAATCATCCGACAACCATTACTTTTCTTTTTCCGGCGTGATTGACATAGTGGGCACACACCCAGCAACAATGCCCAGTTGGTCGACAAAGAGAATCGATGGTGGCTGCTATGTCACCCGCTGCTGCATGCTATTCGAGCCCAAACCACCGCAAGGTCACTAGCCGTCGCTTGTCGTTCCTGAGGAGTTGACCTGAGAGGCGGATAGGGAAAATGAAGGGAGAAACTCATTGGAGATGGCCCATCCGCCTCCTCAACAAATTATGTGTCAGAACAGAAGCGTGCAATCGATAATCTATATCAACACAAACGAACACAAATTTAACGTGGTTCACTAACACAATGTGTGCTAGCTAATCCACGGGCAAGGGAGAATAAATTTCACTGATTTTGAGGAGAGTACAGGTTACAAACCAAATTCCAATTGGACAAACCAAACAAACTAACCTGACTGACCTTACAACAGATTAGGGTGGTGAAGAGTATTTATAGAACTCTTCTCTTAATCCCAAACGGAAAACCAAACACCTTTTCCCAAACATACAAAGAAAAGGTCAAACAAAGCCCAAACACAAACCCAAACAAAATAGGCCCAAACAAACAAAAAAAACCCAATAAAATTCAAGTCATATTCTAAGAATCTCCACCTTGACTTGAATTCTCTCTCAAATACCAAATGTACCAGACGCAACCAAAGTTTCCAGATGTACCCAGACACGATCCATATCGCCAAATTTACCCAGATGCGATCGAAATCGCAGATATCCAGATGTGATCAAAATCACCAAACTCAAACGTGATGCAAATCGCCAAACTCAGATGCAATCAGAATTGCCAGACGTACCAAACTCCTCCAAATCAGTTGTACCAGAATCTCCCCTGCCTCCAAATTCCCCTAAGGGCGGTCAACAACTCAAGTCATTTGGAAAGTCCAACCCCATGTTGAGACTTGCCATTCGGAACCAGCTTGGCGCACTTATCACCAACAGAACATGTCAAAACAGAACCTTGTAGACTATACAAGGCACCAACCTTGACACCTTTCTGAATCACCTTAGAACCCGTGTAGACAGACAACACTCCACCTTCACCTTTGAAACTGAAACCTTGATGTCGAGTAGACTCAAAGATATCATATTTTTAGTCATCTCTGGAATATGTCTAACATTGTTCAAGGTGAGAACAGAACCATCATGTGTCCTCATCCGGACGGAGCCTCTTCCAACAATCTTATAGATAGGACCATTGGCCATAGAAACATGTCCTCCATTTATCTGCTCATAAGTTGAAAAACACTCCCTGCTTGGACACATATGATAATCAGTTGAAGTATCTAAATACCACACATCCTGATGATGTATCTGTTCATTCACTGCTAAGGCTAAACCATCTTCAGAATCAGAGTTAGTTTCTTCCGCCACAGCAGCAGATGATTCCTTCTTCTCCTGATATTTCTTCAGTTTAGGACAATCAAATTTTCAATGTCCTTTCTCCTTGCAGTAATGACATATATCATCCTTCAAACCAATATAATTCGAATTTGTATTCGCCTTCCTATTACCAGATTGTTGTCTCCTACTACTAGTAGCAGCCAACCCAGATGCCAGATTTTCCGAACCTAAACCAGATGCCTTATGTCGAACCTCTCTAGTATGTAGAGCAGATCTGACATCTTCCAAAGACAAACTATCTTTCACAGCAATAAATGAATCCACAAAATTCTCATATGACTGTGGCAAAGATATTAACAGAATTAAGGCAGCATCCTCATCATCTATTTTAACATCAATATTGCCAAGATCTAACAAAATAGTATTGAGTTGATCTAGATGATTCCTAAGAGACGTACCTTCCTCCATACGCAAACTGAACAAACGTTGCTTCATATGCAACTTGTTGGTTAAAGACATTTTCATGTATAGACTTTCAAGCTTCAACCACAAGCCTGCAACAGTCTTCTCAGTAGCAACCTCAGTGATGATGTCATCAGACAAACAAAGCAAGATTGTAGAGTGAGATTTCTCCTCCAAAGTAATCCACTCTTCTTCATCTATACTTTCCTTCTTCGATTTTCAAGACAACGAAGCCTACAAACCCTATTGTTTCAATAGTGGTTGCATCTTGATCTGCCACAAACTGAAACTGTTTCTTCCAATAAACTTCTCAATCTTCATACTGATAGCAGCCATTCTTACTATCAAACAAACTCCAACCAAACTTCTCACCAAAAAAGCGAGACCAAAACACAACTACCCAAAGTCACCTTCAAAGCGATTCCTCCACTGAACCAAGCTGAAGAATTGAAAGCTACCTCCACAAAGCAAATACCAAAGGCTCTGATACCACTTGTCAGAACAGAAGCGTGCAATCGATAATCCAGATCAACACAAACGAACAAAAATTTAACGTGGTTCACTAACACAATGTGTGCTAGCTAATCCACGGGCAAGGGAGAATAAATTTCACTGATTTTGAGGAGAGTACATGTTACAAACTAAATTCCAAACAGACAAACCAAATAAACTAACCCGACCTACCTTACAACAGATTAGGGTGGTGAAGAGTATTTATAGAACTCTTCTCCTAATCCCAAACGGAAAACCAAACACCTTTTCCCAAACATACAAGGAAAAGGTCAAACAAAACCCAAACACAAACCCAATAAAATTCAAGTCATATTCTAAGAGTATGTTTCTTTCCCAAAAGAGGGTGAACGAAAGTAGAATTTTTGTCATATTCATATGTTCGACTTCATTATTAAGTAGCTCATATTAGTTTACTGGTTATGAAAAATAGTTTTCAAGATGTGAATGGAACTTAGTTCTATTAACAATGGTAGGCCACTCAACAAAGTATGTTTCTTTCCCAAAAGAGGCCATCTGAAGGTTAAACCATATCAGTGATAGACTGGAAAATACCCATGTATCATGTATGTACCAATTCAATTACACAACAGATTCCAAATTACCCTCGCATCGATGGGATAAGGCGTTTTTGTGAGAAATATTGACACAATCAATCTGAACGTGGGGTTTTTCCAAAATTAATCGTTTCTGATGGAATTCGCGGATGAGAGGTTTAGAGTCAAAAGGATTTTTACAAACCTATAATTGTGGGATTGTAAAATAGCTGGCCATCTACTTTGAAGTGAACTTTTTTTATTTATTTCCGAATGATATCAAGAGAAGACAAGAGTTATACAAAAAACTACCCAGGACCCCTCACAATAAAAATCTAATGAAGCCACCCCAAAAAATTTAAAAATTCTAGCTTTTAATGAGACAAAAGCTGTGCTTTATGCGCCACTCTATGGGCAGCGCTGTTGGCAGCTCTAGAAACTGCCTTAAACTCTATACAAACTGACAAGGAGTCTAGGATCTGATGACACTCCCAGAGCACCGGACTACCAGTCGAGTCTTCTATGACGCCTGCCGGACCTGATTGACGACCACTTCAGAATCACCTTTGACTATCACGTGAGTTAATGATCTTGAGTAAACGATGTAGATGGCGTCTCTAATGGCTAGGAGCTCTGCCAAGAAGGGGTTGACTATTCCCTGACGTCGCAACTCGAATGTCAACACCACATGTCCGTCTGACCTTGAACAACAAGCCCAGAAGAACACTCTGTGGCACAAATAGTAGCGTCGAAATTGATCTTCAAATAGTCATCTGGCGGAGGGACCCACGTGGTGGCTGGATGGATTGGGAGGAGAGATATGCGGGGTAGAGGAGGGGGAGAAGGTTGGAGACTTCAAGGACCTGGTTGTAGAATTGTCTGGTTAGGGAACAGACATGAGGTTGATAGAATTCAAAAGTCACTTTATTTCTGAACTTCCAGATTCTCCAAAGTAGGCAGACGCATTGGAGAATGTGGAATGGGGAGGTCTCAGAGACCATGACATGTCGCCGCCATAGACTAAAGTTAACAGTCGGGGCGGTCTCAATAAAGTTGCTCAATCCCTCTAAAGCACACAATCTGGTGGCTAGGTGGCATCTAGAATAAATCTTCAATGCTCTCTCAATGTCTCCAGCAGACATGGCATCAGTTGAAGCAGTTTACTCCACGAGTTTGAAGGGCCACCACTATGAGGAGAATGACTCTAAAGCATTGCTATTGAGGTAATACCCCGAAGTATTACCTTGAAGTCACCTACTGTTGGGCTTTTTTGTCCAACATTGAATGAGTAATTTTTATTATTATGATATTACCAATTTTACTCCTCTTTTCTTTAAAGCTAAAGATGGTTGTTGGTTTTATGGTTCGAACTTCGAATACACATTGTGGTGGATTTACCCCCTTCTTTCCTTCTCCCCATCGTCTATCTTTTCCTCTTCCAATTTTACTTCTGTTCCATATTTGGGTTTATGTCAAATTGATCCAATAAACGCCTACACTACTGACACTTCGGTGAAAACCTCTCTCTGAAATAGTGACGAACAATAAAAGAAGTCAAAAGGAACAAAATCGTTGTTGATTGTTGTAGTTTCGAGACTTCATACATTCAATATTTTATTAGTTCGAGTATCGTTACGGTAACTCTATATCTCTTCTCTGCCTACAACTCCATCCAAACCAAATGGCAAACGATGGCACAAAGCTGGCCTTTAACAGTACTAGGGAATCCCTCTAATTGAGGAATATTAACTGACACTAGCTTGATTATATGCGCATGTAAGTAACAATTGCATGCTGACAGCAAGTTTTAAAACTTAGTACCAAAAGTCCAACTCTAACAGCTCAAGATAGGGTGCATAACCATGTGTTATGTACTCATCCATAACCAAATCTGAACCTATCATTTAGAAAATCCAGATCTAAATATAGAGAATTAAAGACCATTTTTATTTTCCCTAGTTTTTTTAATCGGCTCATATCTTTTTCGTTTTAACTCGAATTTTAATTTTTTTTGCACAGATGGAACGAGTTCATCTTGCTCTACAAAATGAGATCAATTTTCAATATTTTTTTAGAAAAAAATTCTGGCCTCTCGGTACCAACTGCATACCATATGGTATTTTCTTCGTTTTTAATTCGTTTTTGAAAACGTTTGCACAGAAGGGACGAGTTCATCATGATCTATTGGATCTACAAATTTCTGGGTGAACAAATTACATGATCAAAAAATATCACACAATACCATATAATACCACCCTGGTACGGGGTGGTATATTATGGTATATTATGATATTTTCTTCGTTTTTAATTCGTTTTTAAAAACGTTTGCACAGAAGGGACGAGTTCATCATGATCTATTGGATCTACAAATTTCTGGGTGAACAAATTACATGACAAAAAAATATCACACAATACCATACAATACCACCCTGGTACGGGGTGGTATATTATGGTACACAATGATAAAAGTCGTAAATGACAGTTAATATACTTCTATTATCATGTATTCAACCATCCTACAGTCTTGGTTTGTTCATACCACCATGGTAGGCTTTTCAAACCATAGGTATATTCTTATTTCAATACCAGTCAATACCATATGGTATAGACTCGTAAAAAATGGCTCAATTTTTTTTGTTTGAAAAATATATCAAAGTGGATATCATTTTGAAGAGCACAATTAATCTGATCTAACTGTGCAAAAAAAATTATTTTCGACTTAAAACGAGTGAGAAATCGTCCGTCAAAGAATAAGAAGGGGAGAGAGGGATGCTGATGTCATGCTGATGTGGGCTGGTTACTCACCATAAAGTTACTGACCTGATCCGTTCCCAACTCCAACCTCACTCAAAGTCTCCTTAAGGAGTTCCTTAAGTGATTTTCGGTCATTAGATTAATTATAATTAGTTATTGGTTATTGAGCCGTTTTAAGGTAGGTAAGGGTAGTGTTGGTATTAGGATTTTTGAATTAATTAATGATTATATTTTTATTAATTACCTGCCGTTTTTTAGTTTTTGAGAAACCACTAATGACCTGCCGTTTACGTAGCATGCTCTAGGGTTTTAGGGGTTTCACTTTAGAGCTTCCAGGGCGGCCAGACAGTGACCAGGCGGCGACCAAGTCGGCGACCAGGCGGCGACCCATTCGACGACCAGGCGGCGACCCAGTCGGCGACCAGAGATTATTGCACGGCGACGAGGACCCTTGCTCGTCGACGAGCACCCTTGCACGGACGGCGACCAGGACCCTTGCACGGACGGTGACGAGGACCCTTGCATGGCGACGAGCACCCTTGCACAGATGGCGACGAGGACCCTTACACGTCGACGAACACCCTTGAACGGACGGCGACGAGGACCCTTGCACGGCGACCGACGACTAGTTTTCGTGTTTTGCACGGCGGTTTGTTTCATGACGTTTATATTCTAGCTGTTTGGTTGTTTTTAACCTAGTTTTGTGGTGTTTTTGTTGACTTCTGAAACCAAGCCGCCATTTTTGCAGATTTGGTCGAGGAGCTTTGAGGAGTTTATCCCGACCAACTACCGACAGCGGTCTTCATCTCCCCCTAGCTTCGACAGCGGGCTGTTTCGTCATCGTTATTGAAGGTAATTAACGTGGTGTGTGGTTTTTTATGTGTGGGTAGTAAATTAAATTATATATGTTATCGAAGGTTTGTTTTGTCATCGTTAATCGAAATAGTATAGGTCATTAACGTGCGTAGTAGTTCTTATATTTTTATTATTAGCATTTTAATTAAACCACAAACTTTTTTTTATATAAATTGAATGTGTTATTAACATTTTCAGTCATCATTTTCATACTGAAATGTATTTGTTATTAACAGATAATAAGTTCAGTTATTAAATTAAATTAACGTGAGTACTAATCACAACCCACTTGATTAACTCATTCCACAATCTTGTACTTCCCTGTCCCCTGTTGCTGCATAAACAAAACAAACAGAGAGAAATCAAAGCTTCAACAATGGCAACTGGAAACAAATTGTATTAATCACAACCCACTATATCTCTTAATAAAAAGATTTACCTTTTCATATTCACAATCGGCTTGGGCGGTTTCAGTCGATTGTGAGCTAGTAATTGGAATGGCTAATGTAAATCAACATCGAGGTTCTAGTGTAAAGTATTTGTCATCCTTGTCTTGTTTTGTCATCGTATTAAATTAAATTATATATGTTATTGAAGGTTTGTTTTGTCATCGTTAATCGAAATAGTATAGGTCATTGACGTGAGTAGTAGTTCTTATATTTTTATTATTAGCATTGTAATTAAAACACAAACTTTTTTTATATAACTTGAATGTGTTATTAACATTTTCAGTCATCATTTTTATACTAAAATGTATTTGTTATTAACAGATAATAAGTCCAGTTATTATCGTCATCGTTAGTCGAAATGGTTTAGGTCATTAATGTGGGTAGTAGTTCTTATATTTTTTTATTAGCATTTTAATTAAATCACGAACTTATTTTATATAAGTTGAATGTGTTATTAACATTTTCAACCATAGTTTTTATAGTGAAATGTATTTGTAGTTCTTATATTTTTATTATTAGAATTTTAATTAAATCACGTACTTATTTTATATAAATTGAATGTGTTATTAACATTTGCAGCCATCATTTTTATAGTCAAATGTATTTGTTATTAACCGATATTAAGTATAGTTACATTAACGTGGCAACCATATTTATGAAACTTTGCATGTTGTTAATAATCTGATTCACCGTTTCAATTGTTAATGTGAATTTTGTAGGTTATCAACATCATGGCTCGCACCAAAAACACCTCCCGTAAGACTGTGCCGCACAAAGAAACATCTGAGAAAAACCTGATCGGGTCAGTTGAAAATAATGGAGATAGACTCAGCCACAGATGTAGTATGTCTCAGGTTATAAAGATGGTGGAAAATATTACTCCTGCTCGAGCTACTCTAATTCAGGGGTATGGGTTCGGTTTTGTGTTGAATTTGACGATGCACAACATTGATCAGGATTACTTGAGGATGATTGCACAACATTTCGATCACCGGAATATGTCTTTCAGTATGCCAGGCGGGCAGAGTTTACGCATCACAGAGTCTAATATTGCACGCGTTTATGGGTTGCCTCGGGGTACTAATTCTCTTCAACTTGATTTACTTTCAAGCGCCTACCTCTAAAAAGTGGGCAGAACGTCTTGGCATACGTCGTGTCAGTCCAGAAAATGTGAAGTTAAAAGAAGCTATGCGTAGTACTGATGACGACCAGTCGTGGGTGCAAATGTGCATCCGATATTTGCTAGACCCCAATGGTGGAATGCGGGTTCGTCATCAGTACTTGGGATTTATGAGGGGACGCTTAGTTGATGATTTTACAAAGTACAACTGGTGTGGGCATGTCCGCATGTGATAAGTTGTCTGCGTGAGGCTTTTATGAAAAATAAATCGAGGGTGTACATGGAGGGGGATGTTCACTTCCTCATTTGTGCTTTTCTGGATCGGACAGGTGTCCTTGGTAGAGATGGGGGTGTGACTGCATTTATCCCCAGTTGTTCGTATTGGGCAGATTCTCGTGTATCAACACGCAAGTCAGAGGTGCTGCGGAATGCTAGTGAACTACGAGCTGTGCACATACTCAAGACCTCTCAGCCTATGACTAAGACTTTTGTTGGCACTGCATCGAAGGAGGATAATACAGTATCTACCACCCAACCTGAAGTATTGGAAATTGCTAGGAAGGTAAGGGCGGAGGTGATGCGTGACAATGAGGAAGAGCATGATAGCTCTTTGGGGTCGGGATCCATTTTTGGGGCCTTGTGCTTGAGGCTTGACCACATGGAAACTAGCGATGTAAGTTCCACCAAATTTCAATATTATGTTTGTTCTTATATTAATTTTAATACGTTTGTTGTAATTTTAACTATCATATTCACTGTTGTTAACTATTACGCACCTCATTATTAACATACTTGTTAATAACAGTTGTCATTACCCATTATTAATTAGTTACTATCATATTCACTGTTGTTAACTATTACGCACCTCATTATTAACATACATGTTAATAACAGTTGTTATTACCCATTATTAATTAGTTACATTATTTTTTACATGTAGATTGTGTCTATGCGGGACAATGCATGTATGACACTAGATGCATTGCGTCGTCAAGTTATCTTGCTAGGCGTATAGTCAGAGACTGTAATGTTGAGCTTGATAAGCGTGGGCCTGAATCGGCGGATTCTGATGCTGAATCCCATGGTCGGAATGAGACTCTATCCCAGAACGACGATGCGGGTAAGAAACTTCTTATTTATGATTCAAATATCATGTTTTGCTCTGTATAAATTTTTTTCCCCCGTCATCTGTATTGGCATGATTATTATTAATTGTATCTGGTTCTTTCAGTAACAAAGGATAAGGGAGGTGTCAGTGCCTCTCAAGAGGGGCTTGTGTCTGACCATGAGTCTCTATCCCAAAACGGCGATGCTGGTAAGATAAGAAGTATTTATGATTCAAATATCAAGTTTTGCTCTGTACAAAATTGTTTTTCCCGTCATCTGTATTGGCATGATTATTATTAATCGTATCTGGTTCTTTCAGTAACAAATGATAAGGGAGGTGTTAATGCCTCTCAACAGGGGCTTGCGTCTGACCATGAGTCTCTATCCCATAACGACGATGCTGGTTAGATACTTCTTATTTATGATTCAAATATAACGTTTTGCTCCGTATAAAATTGATGTTCTTGTCATTTGTATTGGCATGATTATTATTAATCATATTTGAATTTTTTAGTAACAAAGGATAAGGGAGGTGTCAATGCATCTCAAGATGGACTTGTGTCTGACCATGAGTCTCCGTCCCAGCTACGAATATCATCTGATATTGGTGCAAACGATGGTAGAGTCGGTAAGTAATCTAATTTCAAAATCTATTAGTTAATAACACGTTTTTTAAATAAACAATTACGCACCTCATGTTTGAATTACAGCATGTGAACTGTGCTTTGATTATTAACACGCTGCCTATTCATTATTATTCAAATTCAAGTGATTTATAACATCTACACACCTAATTATTAATTTCCAATTTCGAGGTGGGGATCACGACAATTCCAAAGAGCATCTAGAGCCTATTGATGATGCCGCAGAGTACATAATGGACCAACATGTGAACACTCATGTATACAAACGAAAGAAGAGATCTCGAACCTTAGTTGTACCCTCAGATGACGATTTTGAAACCAGACCTAAAAGGGATCTCAAAAAGTCCAAATATATAATATCGCCATTCACTTCAAATCAGTCCAAGGTAGTTGCTAAAGTTGTACCTATTAACAAGAAGGGAGTTGATGTTTCGAAAGAGGTACCTCCTACCGAGAAGCAACATGAGGGTGTGGAAGAAGTGCTTGCTAAGGATAAACGGCAACGAGCTAAACCGAAGCCTATCGATGTTTTCTACATTGACGGGAATTTATGGGAGGATCTGGCACTTTGTTATGTGATAGCATCGTATTTGCACATGTTTTTACTTTTGTTTCCTGACCATTTTAGCTCGAGATTGATTGTTCCTTGGCCTATTTTACGCTAGGTGGTGTTGTTTTGTCGTATTTCAGGTCCTAGCAAGTAAAGAGGTGCATAGGTGCAAGTTTTGGGTCATTTGGAGGTCAGCTGGCGATTCACATAGCAAATTACGGGTAGCCCCTGCCAAATTACGGGCGTAATTGTTCCAGGCATGCCAGTAAAAGCATTGCCGAGCCTGATTTTCCTAGAACTCCTCTCGGCAGTAAAATTACGGGTAGGTCTCCCAGCGATTACGACCGTAATTAATAACCACTGGCGGTAATTTGGAAATTACGGACGTAATTCCTCCCCCATCAGAGTAAAGTGAAACGCGCGTTTGGGGCGATTTACGGGCAGACAGTGATTACGACCGTAATTCTGCCCGTATTTCGCCCAGAATCGGGTTTTTAGGCAGATTTCAGCCAAAACAGAAGGGGATTCGAGTTTTAGAGAGACAGAGTGATTCCTAGAGAGAGAAAGCGACGAACAAGAGTTCCCAAGTGACCTAGCTTGATCTTCATCACCATTGGAGCTTGGCTGGAGCTTGGAGAAGTGCCGATTGACAACCAGGAGCAGAAATCCATCCTTCACAGTATGATTTTCGCGTCTGAATCTGCTTTTGCTTCTTTCTCCATGGAGTAGTTCTCCCATTCATCTGGGTATGGGAAACCCTAGATTTGTATGTTACGTTTGATTGTATGAACCCAAGTACTGATTCTATGATTTGATTATATTCAATTGAGGTTTGAATGATTGAATGGCACGAATCCTGATCAAATTCCTGTTGTTTCTGCTTTAACCTAGAATGAGAATATCTTTCTAGGTTGATAGAGCATCCTTGATTGAAGGTAGGGAGTTGGTAACTTTAGTCGAGGAGCCAACTCACTATTCTGTACCGGAATCACTTCGCTAATGGAGGTTTTGTTCGTTAGGGCCTCAATCTGTTTACTCCGGTGGAGGTTAGTCGCCCGCTAGAGACTCAGATTGAGAGGGTCTGGCGACCTTTAGTCGAGACTTCAGACTGCTTATGAACCTTCCGCAGTATAACTATCATAGA